TGAGAAAACATGATGCAACATCATCATCCTTACAAAACAACCAGTACTTAGAGTCAGAAAAAAAAAAATCCATGAACTTCCCCCCCTTCTTTTCATTTTGAACTGTAACAACGTGCCACTGTAGTAATGCTGTAAAAGGACACAGTCATCACACTTCACCTACAACTCTGAATTCATTATGGGTCAGTAGCCACCACACCACAGGCCTGCAGAGTAGAGAATCCATGGTATCTCCTAAATGTATCATTATGGAAAAAGAGCCCGGACTTTGCCTCATCAAACAAAAGGCACCGCTGGGATAAAAAAATTGACTCTATAAGCCAAGAAGCACACACACCAGTAAAGTTAAGTTTCTGGAAATGTATTCTAACTTGAAACTGTAAAGATATCTAAAGTTTCACTTAGAATTTTTTAAAAAAATTAATTAAAAAAGGCAGGCAAAAGTGTCTTTTGCATAAGGTCACAGACAACATACAATTAACCTTTCCCCTGGTCCCTTAAGTGTATTAAATAGTACCTTTTGATGTTCTCCAAAGAGACGGCAGAAAAGCAAGAGCAAAGAGAGGAATGCATGAGACACAGGAGTAGCTATTATGGTCCCATCCCCAGGATTCATACAGTTTAGAAAAGTGATTATAGTACTGAATTCTGGACTACCAGAAATACACATTCAAAATAGGCAGAATATTATTAATCTTGTTTTTCTACTGCAAAATGCTACTCAGTTACAGTTTCTCTGCAACTCCACCAGCATGAGCAGCAGGCTAGTTCTTTGTCATTTGCAAATTTAGCATCTATTTTATTGCATCATATGTAGTCAAGGGAATTCAACCAGGAGAGTAAGGCTCTGCTAAATCCTGTTCGTCCTCTACCTTCACAGAGGGAATAAGATAAAGCAGAAGAGGAAAAGGTGAAAAAAAAATGTTCTGGGTAGAGTTTGGATGCAGTGAATACCATCTGAGTAATTTCAGATTATATACTCCATGCTACTGCCTCTACTTCAGCACTTACTTTCAGAGTTTAACACTGGGGCTGAGGGCAGATTTAACAGCAGTAGCTCTGCAGGACAGAGGTTGTAACACATTGAAAACAGCACAGAAAGGGACCAAAAAAAGAAATTTCCCCCCCCCAATAACAGGGCAATCCAAGCAGAAGCTCAGAAACCAACTCAAGGTTCAGACAGGGAAAGGTCTAGAAAAGCCCAGTGGCCGCAGGAGTGCAATTGCTTGCGGAGGAGAGGAAAGGCAACAAGTAAATAAAGTGTCAGGTAGGATCCCTCTCACCCCCCCTTTCTCAAATAAATCAGTTAACTTTTCAGAGAGCAGTAAATCTTCTTACTCCTCTGGATTAAAGGCAGACTTAAAAGAATGTTTGTTAACAGACTACCTTCTCCCTGGGTCATTCCTGATGCACATTGGCTAACCACATGCAGAAAACTATGTTAAGGATGCCCTTGATAAAAGGAAAAGTTTATTTCTAAATTATATTATTATATTTATTATTTTTTATTTAAAGACAATTAAAATGCTTACTGGACGTAGGATACAATTTTCATTTTGCTTCTATGGAGTTTGATGACCATTAGACAAGTGTCTGTGGTACAAGAGTATCTCTTTGAAACATCTACTGGCCTTTTGCCATCCTGTATTATGAGGTGAAATGAAATTCAAGGTCTCAGGTCTCCCACGCGCAGAAGAGACAGCAGGATGGTCATTTTAGAAGACAATTTTCAGGCTGCTTACTGACTAAGGAGAGCTGGGTCCCTATGGGATTCCCAGTGAAATTTCAGGAAGCAATGATGTTTTATCCCAGCACCAAAAATGTTTTTGAAGATTTCATTTGCCTGCCTACATGCTTTGCATGATGATCACCCTATTAAAAGAGGGAAAGCTAATAATAAAAAATAAAGGCTAATTTACATTTCACTACATAATATCAAAGACAAGTAGGTAATTTTAAAAATAAGTTTAAAAATATGACACAGATGAGTAATATGGCAAAAATACCCATTACAAAAGTTTAGTTCAAGAGAAGTAAGAAAAAGGAGAGGAGGAGAAGTGCTTTTTCCAGAGGAACAAGTCAGATGAATAGGCATTTACCACACAGATCCTAGGGAGGAGAGATAGTCAACAGGGTGAGCTCCTTTGTAAACACATTTTTTAGTAAGAAATACTGGTCCTCAGGAATCAAAGAAACAAAAGAATTTCCCTGAAATATTTTGTAGACTCAGACTGCTTCAGTTCTGCATGGGAACCAAGTCTAACCTCAAAATGCCTTCTCCATCTTGGATGAAACACCAACATTACAACAGCAAGGAACTCCATGATCATCTGTAAACTAACATGCTTTACAACTAAAACAAGCTTCATGAAGTAAAAATCCCTTGTGTCCAGAGGCGTTCCCAACAACAAAACATTGAAATCACTTTTCCTGATTTGCTAAAACATGAAAACACAGAAAAGGCAATAGCTCAGGGAAGCTGGACCTTGCCACACTGCAGGTATGGTACATCTTTTCTGAGGTCTTTGTAGCAAAGCAAACTAGTAAAATGTGAGTTGAATGGCTAACCTTTGTGTTATGTCACAAGCTGCTCGTGAGGACACCAAACTTCCTCCTAACATTCTTGCAAATGCTCACTTGCACTGTAACAAAAAGCAAACATTGCTCTGACAGTTTCCTTGATACAGACACTAATGAAATGCTAAATAATAGTATGAAAGTACTTTATCCTCTGCTTTCCCCAATCCAACATACTTCAGAACATGTATAAAAGTAATTTCACCTTCCTGGTATTTTTTCCATTTCTTTTCTCTATGTAACTCAAATGAGTTTTCCAAAAGAAAAACATAGTTTCAATGTATACCTCCCAGCAAGTCTTGCAATTATTTTCAGGAAGCCTGATAATAGCTCAGTAGGAGTAAAAAAAAAAAGTAATATTTGGTAAAATCTGTATTTTCTTCTTTTTCTTTATTCATTAATGCTTTGTCTTTGGAAGACAATGCAATTTTGGTGGAACTGCTTTCCTTTCAGCTTCTGTACAGTGAGCATTTTGATATCTTTTGGTTACAATGAAACTCCATTTTGAAACATCATATCCACGTTTCTGGGAAGAGCCTGGTAACATATTCACTGCTTCTCTCTCTATAACAAGTACAACCTTTCACTTAGCTCTGCTCCACCAACACTAGAACCAGTAACTGCAAGGGAAGGCAATGAGAACAAAGAAAAATAGGGGAAAAAAACCCACCCACCACCAAAGATAAAGCAAAAAGCCAACCTCTTTCACATAGATAACAATAGGAACTGAGAAAGCCAGTGTACGCCTCCCAATTAACCAAACTGCTCAAAGCTCAAGAGGGAAGAGTAACAAGCATGTGAAAACAATCCTGGTATGTTGTTCTGGTTTTATGATCACCAGAGCCATTTACTGTATCTCCAAACACTCCCTCACATCAGATGTCATTAACAGGGTCAACCTGCACTTTCACTTTCCAGCACCCATGTTTTTCTGCTCCCATAGTTTCAGGGAAGCTCACAGGCAGCAGTGGATGTGCATACCTGGAAGCCAGAGAACCTCCCTTCCACTTTGTCACCACCTTGTAATTACAGTTACTTGCTGAAAGCCACAGCACCTCACCTCACCTAAAAATAGCAGCATGTATTTGTTTTAGTAAAGAATTGCTTTTTAAGGAACTATTATAGTGGCAGAACAATTAGAGCTTACTTTAAAATATTTAAAATTTTAGTTCCTGGGGAATTTGCTCAGTAGTCTATTCAATTCTTTAATAATCTGAGGGGAACAATCAAATTTAAAATTCTTTAAATCTCTCATCCAATTTCAGCATCCCCAATGACAGAACAAGCTCTTAAATAAAGCTGGTGATTGCTTATTAACAATGTGAAGACTTCACTGTAGTTTTTGCAATAGTTTTTTTGGGAATTCATGTATGCCTGAAGAGACTATAGCAAAACAGCTTGTAGTCTGTAGTTTAGTTTACCTTCTGTAATCTCAGAGTTGGTAGCATGGCGATTCATGCTCAAGACTTAGAGACAGTAACAGAAAGAAACCAAATACTGAATCCTGCACCCATTATCATCAAGGAAAACAATGTGTTACGGATACAGCAATCAAGTGCAAGGACATGCCTTGACTCCGAAACTACTCCCACTGCCAGCTGGATGCATCCAAACGAACACTGCCTTTTGCCTGGCTGGCAAGGCTACAACCAGGTCCTGATCAGACACCCTCTAAAGTAAATATCATGATATGAGTGTGTAAGGGAAACAAACCACTGGGAAAGCCAGCCCAGCTTCGGGGTTGGCCATGGATTTTTCTTTCAGTTTGGAGCTTGTGTCCCTCAAGTGTCTACTCAAACTGGAAAGCACTTTGGGAATATGTGATCAGCCACCATTAGCAAGTGCGTCGGCTGCCAGGTCCACAGGAAGGTGTCCCAAACCCCACACGTTCCACCATTCCTGGGCAGCGGGAAGCATTTACACACCCGCAAACCAAACCCTGTTTCCTTCCAAAGGCCCTTTTCATTCCAGGGTCAAGGACCGAGACTGTTGTTCACCGACGGTGACCCCATCCTCGGCCCTTGAGCCCCCAGAGCCGTCACTACGAGTCGAGGAGCCCGGTGCTGCTCCTTGCCATCCTTCGCCCGTCCGGGTACCGGCCACTCCCGCGGGGACTTTCAAGGGCAGCAGACCATGCGCATCCTCGGGCTCCCAGGAAGGAGCTGCCCAGGTGCAGAGCTATAGTCGGGGCCGGACACACGGCGCCGCGGATGCCGCCCACCCCGCCGCTTACCCCGCCGCTCCCGCTGCCCGCGGCGCCGCGCAGGCCCCGGGCTGCGCTCCCGCCGCCTCCGGCAGCGCCGGCACCGCCGGGGGAAGGTCCCGCGGCATCGCCGCCTTTCGCCACCGCTACGCCGGGAGCGGGGGCAGCGGGCTCGGCCGCGCTCCACCTGCTCGCCGCGGTGGCCGCGGTCCGTACTCACTCCGCGTAGCCCGTGGTCCAGGGCAGGCGCCGGGTGTCCTTGCTGAGGATGAGGATGGGGCGGGCGATGTGGTCGGCGGAGCACTCCACCTCGTCCGGGGACAGTCCCAGGAACTCGGGTCTCCCGTAGGGGAAGCGGAGGGGCAAGTCCGCGCCACTGCCGTGGTCGGCGCCCGCGCTGCCAGCCATGATGCCGCCCATGAAATTGGCCACGGCGGACTTCACCCGCGTGAGCATAATAGTACCCCCGC